GCTGTGGCTCAAGTGGTAGAGCGCTAGCTTTGAGCTGAAGAGCTGAGGGACAGCGCCCAGGCCCAGAGTTCAGGCCCCATGACCGGACCCAAAAAAAAAAAAAAAACAAGTAGTGAAGCCCGGCACCGGTATTTCATGCCTGTAATCCTTTCTACTCGGGAGCCTGATATCTGAGGATCTTATCTCCAATTAACCACCAAAAAACCAGAAGTGGTGTTGTAGCTCAAGTGGTAGAACACTGGCCTTGAGCTGAACTGCTCTGGGACAGCACCCAGGCCCAGAGTTCAAGCCTCATGACTAACCAAAAAAAAAAAAAAGTACGCCCCCCCAAAAAACCCCAAATAAGTAAAAAGGACAAGGTCCTTTCACATCTCAGTGCTGCTAAAATTTAACAAAATTAATAGAATTGGAGGGAGAAAATGGGGACAATGATGGTAGGGGTGACATTGACACTGAATGCTAGTGGATCACACCTGTGATCCTAGCTATTCTAAAGGCTGAGATCTCAGGATTATGGTGGTTCAAAGCAAACTCGATTGTTTGAGACTCTTTGTCTCCAGTTAGCAACCAAAGAGCCCAAGTTCAAATGGTTCAAATGGTAGGGTGCCAACTTCAAGCAAAAATGCTAAGGGACAATGCCCAGGCCCTGAGTTCAAGCACATATGCACACACACACAAAGTAAACAAAGAATTTTATGCAGGGGGTTGTCTTGGGCTTGAACTCAGGGCCTGGCCACTGTCCCTGGGATTGAACTCAGTACCTGGGCACTGTCCCTGAGACTCTGTGCTCAAGGCTAGTGTTCTACCACTTGAACAACGGTGCTACTTCCAGCTTTTTCTGAATAGTACTATAGGTAAGAATCTCACAGATTTTCCTGCCCAGTCTGGCTTTGAACCATGATCCTCAAATCTCAGTCTCCTGAGTAGCTAGAATTATAGGCATGAGCCACCAGTGCCCAGTTAAAAATATCTTTTTTATTTCCTATAATTGTTTTAAATAGTTATATCAATTGTTTAATTTTTCAGGAACTTCCAGAACCAACTCCAGTAAAAACTAGACTACCTCCTGAAATCTTTGGTGATGCTCTGATGGTTTTGGAGTTTCTTAATGCTTTTGGGGAACTTTTTGACCTCCAAGATGAATTTCCTGAGGGAGTAACTCTAGGCAAGTACTATAGTTATTTAGTGCTGTGTTAGCTCACCCTAAAATTAGTGGCTGTTATTAACAAAACAAGTTATATCTTAAAGCTCTATAGGGTTACGGGACTTAACTATCCACTTCCCTCTTGGAATTTGCCATGTGATTGTAGTCAGATAGTGGCTAGGACTGGAGTCATCTGAAGCTTGACTAGCTGGTTGTTCCAGGTGGCTTTTTTGTGCACATGACTGATGACTGATGTTGGTACCTCATTCCTTTTTATATGGCCTCACAAACTCATCTGCCGTTTTACATGATAGCTGAGGCCTTCAAGAAGCTGGAAACAGAAACTGCCAGATCTTTGAAAGGCTAGGCTTTGAACTGCCACATTGCAATGGTCAGTAGTTAGAGGCCCCTATAACTCAAGGGGATGGAAGAATAGACCCACTTTATGAGTGGGGGTGCATGTTTACAGATTATTGCCGACTTTTAGTTTATAGTTCTATTTTGCCTGTGCATTTACATGCATTGCATAATAATTTATAATAGAGTTTGGACCAAATTTTGAGATTTAGATGATAGCAAAATAATTTTATTAAGATTCATATATAGCCTATCAAACACATAATTAAATTTCTATTAGTAAGAGCATTCAATTTCTTTACTGTCTTATTAACTAAATGAAGTATGAATTACTGTTTATAATTCAAAAACATCTAAACAATGCCAGTTTAGGTAAGCTGAACTAAATAAGAAAACAGTTATTTAACACTTGGACCTAATATTAAAGTTAAAACCTAAAGCTAATAATTACCTCTCCTGTGCTGTTTTGTACACACTGTCACACATAGCTCTCAAGAACAGTGAGATGACAATAATAGATATTTGTATTGTTATTAAAATTATACTTTTTAAATGTTACTAGATTTGTGCCTCAACATTAAGTATAGATAAAATAATAATTTGGTCTATTGAGACTATTTTTGCTTCAATGCAATGTCTGACTTGTAATTTTATTGTATTATAATCACTAATTTTAATTTTGGCTTGGGTAATATTTGGGTCTGCTTTTAAAAATACATATTTAAGAATACATATTTAAGATAGCTGTACAGGCTGTTATTGTTACATTTATGATTCCAGTGGAGTATATGGAGTTATTTTTTTAGTCCTGAACAGAACTTTAAATTCATTTTAAACATTTTATTCACAGAAGTATTAGAGGAAGCTCTTGTAGGAAATGACAGTGAAGGCCCACTATGTGAATTGCTTTTTTTCTTCCTGACTGCAATCTTCCAGGCCATGGCTGAAGAAGAAGAGGAAGTTGCCAAAGAGCAAATACCTGATGCTGACACCAAAGGTCAGAGTTCAACATTACTACTGATTAGCTGATAGTAGTTTGTAGTCATTTTTGACAACTGTTTTAAAATTAGCAAGGACACACAGTTTGAAAATACAATTTGTTATCTTCTGCTTTATCTATCTTACACTACTAACCTTACCATTTGATTTTTAATACATCCCTTTTCTGACAACCTTAAAGACATTTTCACCTTAACTATCTTGTTTTCATTCCTTTAGATTTTTCCTGTGGCTTAGGAGCATTATATGTGTCAGTAGCTAATATCTATAATCCCAAGAGATTCTGCTGAATCATCCTCAATTTTTTTTTAACCCCACCTAAGGAAAAACTTTAAATACTGTTAATCCTTTTTTTTTTTCTTTATGCCATTCACAGGGTCCCTGAGCTTTTTTGCTCAAGGCTATGCTCTACCACTTGAACCACACTCACTGTCCCACTTCTGGCTTTTTGGTGATTATAAGAAAAGAGTCTCATGGACTTTCTTGCCCGGGATGGGTTTGAACTGCAGTTCTCAGATCTCAGCCTCCTGAGTAGCTAGGATTACTGGCGTGAAGCCTCCAATTTTGGAATATCTTTTTGAAAAATTACCACAATTGTTACATCTTAGCCTCCATAGTAGCTAGGATTAGACACCTGAGCCATTTGACTGAAAGTATTTCTTCTAAATAAATTTGAACTGGAAATTTTACTCTTAAAGTCTATGTTCTTAAATATCCATAGTCAGTATATGGTATATTAACAAAAATAATTTCATGGAGAATCCCCCCCTTTTTTGGGGGGGGGTCCGGTTGCGGGGCCTGAACTCTGGGCCTGGGCGCTGTCCCTCAGCTCTTTAGCTCAAGGCTAGCACTCTACCACTTGAGCCACAACGCCACTTCCGGCTTTTTTTTTCTGCTTATGTGGTGCTGAGGAATCTAACCCAGGGCCTCATGCATGCAAGGCAAGCACTCTACCACTGAGCCACCTTCCCACCTTTTTTTCTTTTTGCTTATGTGGTGCTGAGGAATCTAACCCAGGGCCTCAGGCATGCAAGGCAAGCACTCTACCACTGAGCCAACTTCCCAGCCATTTTTTAGTTATACTTACTGTTTTGTTTTGGATTTACCTTAAAGGAAATGTTAAACATTTATTTAAAGATTGATTTGGCTTCCTGAATGAATAATATTCTGTGGATTTTGCCACATAAGCAATTTAGGACCAGCAGCTAGATTAAATAATACTTTGATGTGTTGCATAAAAATTCACAATAAAACATGTGCTGGAGCCAAGTGACAGTGGCTAATGCCTATAATCCTAGCTACTCAGGAAGCTGAGATCTAAGGATCATGGTTCAAAGCTAGACTGTGCAGGAAAGTCTGTGAGACTATCTCTAATTAACCCCAAAAAAGCCAGAAGTAGAGCTATTGCTCAAGTGGTAGAGTTCTGGCCTTGAACAAAAAAGCTCAAGGACAGCACCCAGGTCCTGTTCAAGCCCCAGGACCAGCACAAAAAAAATAAGTGCTCATTGTAGAGTGCCTGCCTACCAAACACAAATCCCTAAGTTCAAACCCCAGTAGTAACATATACATACACACTCTGACATGCAAGGGGTAGCAATAAAAAAACAAATGGTATTTCTTTCTGGGAGATATCTCAGAATGCTGATTCAAGATGATGGGACATTTGTGCCTTCATTTCAATTTGTTGGCCTCAGACAACCTGAGCCCATTTTTGTACCTGGCCCCTGAAGCAACAGGATATCAGTAAGTATGTATTTGATGTTGGGCATCTTTTGATTTCATACTTGTAATTCAAGTAAAATAGATTCTCCAGATTCAGTGTTCACCACTCACTGTAGGTTCTTTACAAAGGCATCTTAACAATGTGGCCCATTGTCATCTCAGTTAAATGAAAATACTTTTTTAGTGTTAGGATTGTTGATCATGTTCCAACCTTAACACAGACAGAATATATTTAATTCATGATTTTAAACAAATTTTATAGTTTTAAAAGTCTGGATTGGGGGAAGAAAAATGGATGAGAGGGATTTGTACTTGAAAATCTGTTAGTATTAAAAAATACATAAAAGCATTGGTGTTTGCCTTGCTATATTAATTCTATTCATGATTTGCTTGATCTGGAATTTGTAGAGCTCTACTCTTTTACAGGACTGTCTATAAAGTATTGGCAAATTTTAAAAAAAAGGTAGTTTGTTTTTTTTTTTTTTACTCATCTCTCACTGACCACATTTTATATGGTTGTTTTAGTTCAGTGACGGCTGTTTCCCTAAGCAGTCAGGGCAGAATTGTTTTTACGTATTTAGCTGGTCTTAGGATTTCCTGCAGTATCTCAGAAATGGGAGAAGATAGTGAATTTCATATTAGTAATGAGAACTTAGGCGTAATGAGGTTATTTATCAAGGTCATATCACTAGCAATAATGTAAGACACTGCAGGTTGTTTCAGTTAGTCCTCATTCATTTAGTCCTTTATAGTGGAGATCTTTTTGTGTGTAAAAAAATGCTTTTATATGTAAAGAAACTAAATGTGGCTAATAAGTGGTAGGACCCATTCAGGGAATCTGGTCTAAAGATTCATGATTCTATTACCCCAAAATATGAGAATAATTTAAATATTTGTCTCCTTAGTATTCCAATTATTTTAACTTTTTAAAGAATTCTAAAAAATAAAATGTAATAAAAATATAAAGTTCTAATTTGGCCTTTGGTCTCCCTGTTTTTATACCAAATCTTAGAAATTTTGACTAGCAGTTTAAAATATCTTGTACTAATTATATCAATTCTTGCCTTTAGTTAAGCACTGTAAGTTTAAAAGCACTGTGAAGTATGGAGTCAAGAGCATCTTTTATAAAAAAGAATAGTTTTGTATATTTCCTGGGATATCATTGTTCAGTATTGAAATTGTATGGAACTAATTCTACATTAAGATGATAATAATGTAGCTGTTTCACATAATATACTAGATAAAGTGCAGCTATGTTTATGGAGTTACACGAGAGAGTAAGCAAATCCTGCAGTGATATTTAGAGCTTATATGGTAGATAATTGAGTTAAAGAATACAATTTTAGCATATTACTTTATTTAACACAATTAAAAACAAACTCATTTTGTTGGCAGTTTATTTCCTTAGGTCGTTATAATCTTAATCTCAGTAAATTATAATTTCCTATACACAGTATAGGTTAAACGTAGTGGTTTCTGCTATGAAAAAGAGCCAACGTATTTTTCGTATTTTTTAAGTTTGCTTACTAACATAAACTTAACTCATTTTAGAGTGCCCAATAATTTTAAGTTTATTGGCTTTATATTTAAAATGGAAATTGAGAAAGTTTTGGGTATTTCCATGATAAGGAAGAAATATTATCTGTCATTGGGATAGAGTAGGCCTGTAGGCATGCATGACTTTAGCATAAGCACTAAATTTAGTCAGCTAACATCTTCTGAGTGGTCTGTATTTAAAATGTCATGAAACAGTCAATGTTCATAATCAGACATGATCATAGCTGAGCTGCCTTTTGCTTTTCTAAGGTTAATTGATTGTATCGGCTTGTAAGCTTTGTGAGGGAGTCATGGTAGAAGGTTGAAGACCCACAGGACCAGCAGACAACTGATTCTCAGACTAATCCAGCAAACTTTATTAGTTGTTCAAAAATACAGGAGAGTTGAAAAGCTGAATGGGCAGTATTTTACCTTCCTTCCCCACTTTAACAAGGGCTTCTTTTATATCTTTTATATTGGACTTCTAAGAAATATTTTGTTTGAAGACTGCAAACTGCTGATCTAGATTAGCCATTTAAAAAAAGTGAAGTCCAAAGTGTTTTGTCTAAAGCATACATAACCAGGCAGTGGCAGAGCTAAATCCAGGAAATCACTTATCTGAAACTGCACTAGACTATAAATAATACACAGTTTTTCATAGCTGATACTTTAAAAGAAATTTTAGTGGTACAGTATACTAGGGTTGTTTGAACTCAGGTTTTGTACTTGTTAAACAGGCACTCTACCACTTGAGCAATGCCCAGCCCTTTATGCTTTTTTATTTTTCAAAGGGGTCTCACTCTTTCTAGTCTAAGCTACCTCTTCCCTCTATTTATGTTTCCTATAAGGCTGGGATATCAGGTGTGAACACTGTACCATCTTTTGTTATTAAAATGGGGGATTTGGCTGACTTTTTGCCTGAGCTGCCCTCAGACTGTCCTCCCAATCTCTGCCTCCCAAGTAGTTAGGATTACAGGAGTGAGCTACTATGTCCTGTTGGAGGCTTGTGACTTTTTTTTAGTCTTTACTATAAGGAATAATTTGTGCTGATAGATTTGCTATTAAGTCCTGTTTGTATGCTAAGTGTTGTTTTCAGAGGTAAAGGAGTTCATCTAGAAAATACAGAGAAACTTCATTGTTTTTTGATTGGAAGGAAGCTTTAATGTAAAAGATAAGTCATTAATTGACAGGAGTACTGGCTTTAAAAGTTCTTTCAGCTCTTTTTCTGGACTGATTTTTGTGATGCTTATGACCTATACTTTGTTATGATTCATCTCAAGATATTTGTGAGAGATTTGAGGTATCTTCATAGATTCAAAGTAGACTTTTTCTAAAGTTATTGAGCAAGACTTTTTTTTGTTTTTAAAATCACTCTCTTTGCTCTTTTTTTCTACTTTCTTCCTAAGACAGTTTAAACAGATTTCATTGTTGTATTTTCATACATGCAAACTCTATTTTGACCATGTTCATCCTTACCCTACTAGTTAGCCCAACCACCTCCTCCTAGCACCGCTTGCCCTAAAAGAACCTTTCTCTTTCCCTGACCCTCCAACCCCTGATTGATCTGTAGCTTTCATTGATTATGCTACTTTCCCATATAGTTGCAGTGTGTCTCAAAATTATTTACCCTCTTTCTTTTTTCTCTTCCCTTGTGGGACTTTTTAATTCTAAAACATATTTTATCATTTTTCTTTCTTTTTTATTGATTATGTAAGTGTATTGTTGGTAATTTGGAAATTGTTTCTCCATTTGATTAAGGAAAATGTTAGTGTGGACTGCACGTGTTAGGATTTATAATTGCATGTGGAGACTAGGTGGAATGTGCATAATGCTTTTACTTAGTGTTGGTTCTTGTGAGGTTCCTGAATGTTATGCTGTTTGCTGTTTTCTTACATCATTTTTAAAAGGGCGTTCCTCCCAAGTTTTGACTTGCACTAGAATAAAGTATTTATTTCCTTAAAGATTTAACAGAGGCTTTGGATGAAGATGCAGACCCCACAAAATCTGCACTGTCTGCAGTTGCATCTTTGGCAGCTGCATGGCCGCAGTTACACCAGGGTATGTGTGGGGTTTTTTTGTTTGGCTTTTTATTTCTAATTTATAAAGGTATATTTTGCCTTACTAAGTATTAATTGTTTATATTCTAAATGACTATTTCATTTTTAACAACTATAGGCTGCAGTTTGAAAAGCTTGGATCTTGATAGCTGCACTCTTTCTGAAATCCTCAGACTGCACATCTTAGCTTCAGGTGCTGATGTAACATCAGCAAATGCAAAGTACAGATACCAGAAACGAGGAGGATTTGATGCCACAGATGATGCTTGTATGGAGCTCCGTTTAAGTAATCCTAGTCTGGTGAAGAAATTGTCAAGCACTTCAGTGTATGATTTGACACCAGGTAAACTCTGCAAGTTGGATTAGGGGTAGGAAGGTACAGAATTAGGATTTGAATTCAGGGTATTGTACTTATAAGGCACTCTACCACTTGAGCCACATCCTCAGCTCTTTTTGCTCTGGTTGTTTTTTAATTGGAGTCTTATATTTATACCTGGCTGGGCTAGACTGGACCATAATCCTCTTACTTGTTTCTTACATAACTAGGATGACAGGTGAACAAGACCTTATATTGGTTCCCAGGCTGATGTAACCTTGAACCTTGACTCTCCTGAGTACTGACGCTACCTAAGTAGCTAGTATTACAGGAGTAACTTCCTTCCATGTATAAGTTGGAATTTTTATAACCTGCCCACTTCCTGCCCTGTTGTCTCTTAACCAAAAATTTAATGGTGGATAAGAAACTTTAGATGAAGCTGGGCATCAGTGGCTTATCCTATAACCCTAGCTACCTCAGGAAGCTGCAATTTGAGGATTGTGGTTCAAAGTCACCTTTATATCCATGAGATTCTTACCTTCAATTAACCACTGAAAAGCCAGAAGTGGAGCTGTGGCTCAAGTGGTAGAGTGCTAACCTGGAGCAAAGTGCTTAGCCAGATCCTGAGTTCAAGAACCAGGACTGGTGCGCGCGTGCACACACACACACACAGAATGGGAGAAATGTGCCTCAAATTCTTATTCGCGTGCGCACACACACACACACACACACACACACAGAATGGGAGAAATGTGACCCAAATTCTTTTGGGGGGTCCGGTTGTGGGGCCTGAACTCTGGGCCTGGGCGCTGTCCCTCAGCTCTTCAGCTCAAGGCTAGCGCTCTACCACTTGAGCCACAGCACCACTTCCAGCTTTTTTCTTTTTGCTTATGTGGTGCTGAGGAATCGAACCCAGGACCTCATGCATGCAAGGCAAGTGCTCTACCACTAAGCCACCTTCCCAGCCCCAGTGACCCAAATTCTTATTCATGAGACCTTCAATGATAAGACTTCCTCTTTTTGTTGTTGTTTTTTGTGTTGGTCCTGGGGCTTGAACTCAGGATCTGGGTGCTACCCCTGAGCTCTTTTGCTCAAGGCTAGTGCTCTTACCAGTTTGAGTCACACCTCTGCTTCCAGTTTTCTGGTGGTTAATTGGACTCACAGACTTCCTGCCCAGGCTGGCTTCGCACTATGATTCTCAAATCTCAGCCTCCTGAGAAGTTAAGATTACAGGAGTGAGCCACCAGCACCTGGCTGGATTTTCTAATGTTTAAAATTTTTACAGTCCAGGATGAATGTGGTGCCTTAAACCTATAATCCCAGTTACTTAGGAGACCACAGGAAGAAAGATCAGGCAGCTGTAGATAGAAGGATCATAGTATGAGTCTGGCCCCAGGCAAAAACTCAAGACCCCGTGTAAAGTTTAGAATAAGTGAAGATTAGTTAAAAAATGATCTATTTTTATCCACTAGTATCTCAGAAGTTTAAACTATGCCACTCGCTTGAATAAGTATTTGAAGTATGAGAAAGTGTGTAAGCTTAAGAGGAAGTTTTGTAGGACTTGTCTATTTTTTTCCTAGTATTAGGTTTCAGCTCAGGGCTTCATGGTTGCTAGTCAGATACTCTTACCACCTGAGCCATGCCCCTAGCTTAAGTTTTACTTTTTTTTTTTTTTTAAGGGGGAGCCAGTGTTGGTTGTGGGGCTTAACTCACAGCCTGCGCACTGTCCCTGAGCTTCTTTGAGCTCAAGACTAGGGCTCTATCACTTGAGCCACAGTGCCACTTCCAGTTTTTGAGTGGTTAATTGGAGATAAGAGTCTCACAGGCTAACTTGGTACCATGATCCTCAGATCTCAGCCTTCAGAGTAGCTATGATTACACATTTCGTTTTATTTTACTCCCATTAGACAGGGTCTCATTATTTTAGACTGGCTTTGAATTCATGGTCATCCTACCTCTACCTGCCTCCAAAGCTGGAATTACAGGCACACACTACCGTACCTGGCCTTACTTTCTCCTTAAAATAAGAAATTTTAGGGCTGGAGAAAGCGCAGTGGTAGAACATTTGTCTACCATATACCTGTGGTCCTGAGTTTGATCCTCAACACCAACAAAAACACAAAACACAAACAATGTTTTAGTGTACCAATAGAGTTTAAGTTAATATACTTTAAAGAACATATAACAACAAAGGAAGAGTACTTTAATCCTGTATTATGAAGGCTATGTGAATGTTATGTCATTATTTTCATACTGACCCTTTAGAGTAGTATTTTTCCTTGTTCTGTGGTGTGTGTGTGCGTGAGAGAGAGAGAGAGGAGAGAGTATGCACATGTGCAAACTTATACTGGGCCTTGCACTCTGGCTAAGCTTGTTTGTTCATAGTTTAACATTTGCCATTTGGATCATGCATCCAATACAGCTTTTTAACTGGTTATTTTGAAGATGGATTCTTGTGGACTTTTTTTTTTCTCCATCATGGGGCTTGAACTCTGGGCCTGGGTTCTGTCTCTCAGCTCTTCAGCTCAAAGATAATGCTCTACCACTTAAGCCACAGCACCACTTCCAGTTTTCTGGTGGTTTGTTGGAGATAAGAGTCTTAAGGATTTTCCTACCTGGGATGGCTTTGAACTGTGATCCTTAGATCTCAGCCTCCCTGAGTAGCTAAGATCACAAGTGTGAGCCAGCTTTTCATTTTTTTTTAAATTCATATGGTTAGTACTGCCTCACACTTCATTAGTGAGCCTAAAATATTAAAACTAGAAAACTAATTCTTTGTAATTGGAAAACTTCAAACTTGAAAACTAATTCTTTGTAATCGGCAAACTTCATTTATTCAACTAGTAAACAGAATACAAATTATTATTTGAAATGTGCCCTATATCATAGCTGCTAAACTGGTTTCAAAGTTTTTTCTGAAAGCCAGCGTGTTTGTGTACACTTCTAATCATAGTACTCAGGATCCTGAGGCATGGTGATCACAAGTTTGAGGCCAGTCTGGGCTACATAATGAAGCACTGTTTCAAAAATAAATAAATTCATGGCAGGCATTGTTTTTTGTTGTTGGTGTTTGTTTTTTTGGGTCTGGTCATGGAGCCTGAACTCTGGGCCTGGGAGCTGTCCCTCAGCTCTTTAGCTCAAGGCTAGCACTCTACCACTTGAGCCACAGCGCCACTTATGGCTTTTTTCTTTTTTTGCTTATGTGGTGGCTGAGGAATCGAACCCAGGGCCTCATGCATGCAAGGCAAGCGCTCTACCACTGAGCCACCTTCCCAGCCCTTCATGGCAGTCATTGTAGCATGCACTTATCATTCCACAATTTAGATGTAGTTAGAGGGAGGATCATAAGTTCAAGGCCAGTCTATGAATCTTCGGTCAGCTTGGGTGATATAGTGAAACTCTCACTCAAAAGAAAACTTACTTTTAGAAAATGCCATTGACATGTTCTTTTTAGTTTTTTTTTGTTTTTGTTTTTTTGGGGGTCCAGAAGTGGAGCCTGAACTCTGGGCCTGAGCGCTGTCCCTCAGCTCTTCAGCTCAAGGCTAGCGCTCTACCATTTGAGCCACAGCACCACTTCCGGCTTTTTACTTTATGCTTATGTGGTGCTGAGGAATCAAACCCAGGGCCTCAGGCATGCAAGGCAAGCACTCTACCGCTGAGCCACCTTCCCAACCCCTCTTTTTAGTTTTTTCTTTTGCATTGAGCCACAAGTAAAATTTTTTCAGTTCCCTATTTCTCATTGATAACAAATTGTTTACCATTTTTGACAGGAGAAAAAATGAAGATACTTCATGCTCTCTGTGGAAAGCTTCTGACTCTAGTTTCTACTAGGGATTTCATTGAAGATTATGTTGATGTATTACGACAGGCAAAGCAAGAGTTTCGGGAGTTAAAAGCAGAACAACATCGAAAAGAAAGAGAAGAAGCAGCTGCTAGGTAAGAGATTACACTCGGTCATGTACTGAAAACTGTTTATTTCTTTGCATCTGAAGCCATAATTAGCTTAATGTTATAACACATCACTGGCTTATACTGGTATTCAGCTTTGCAAAGAGGGTATGTTGCCTAGCATATGAGTTTGATGTCCAACACCACAAGAAAATAAAAAAGTAAAAAGATTGTTAATGGACTCACATCATAGTTCTTATAATAATGTTTGGTTAGAGCAAGACAATAAAAGTGTCTTGTATCATTCTGTGATCTTCAATTTTGTCTTTCAGAATACGTAGAAGAAAGGAAGAAAAACTTAAGGAACAAGAACAAAAAATGAAAGAGAAACAAGAAAAACTGAAGGAAGATGAGCATAAAAATTCAACTGCAGATGTCTCTATAGGGTATGGTTTATATTACACAACCAAGTTGGCTTTATTTATCCTGATATAAAGAATAAAAATCATGCCAGGCAGTGGTGGCTCAGGTCTGTAATCCTAGCTACTCAGGAGGCTGATATCTGAGGATCACGATTTGAAGCCATCCTGGGCAGGAAAGTCTGTGAGCTTATATAGTTAAGCACCCAAAAGCTAGAAGTGGAGTTGTGGCTCAAGTGGTATAGCACAAAAGCCCAGTCACCAGCACACACACACAAAAGGAATAAAAATGAGTTACCTAAGACTGGTTGCTTTCAGGATTTTAGAAAAATAGTTTTCTGTAGTCATAATTGTTACTTATCAAGCCTATAAAGTGTATATATAGTCATCATATATAATGTATTTTGTTAAAAATTTAGGCTAATTTTAGTATTCTGGAACTCTTTTCTCATAGGATAGTATAAGTGATAATTGCCAAGAAATCTTTCGATATGTTATTTGTAATCAGTAATATTCCTTGCATGAACAATAATTTTTCTCCCTCCTGGCTTGAGTATATGAGCACCAGCTCTCAATTTAGTGATTTTTTTTACTAGTCTCTAATCATGTTTTCTCACCCAGACAGTTTGCAAGTTAGAAACCAGTGTACTTACTTTCTAATTGTATTTCTCATTTCTAAGTTCTTCAGGTTTTTTCCTATTCCTCCAAGGCCAAGCATGATTTAACCTTGCCCTTTTTGTTTTTTCATCCATGTATTAGAGAACTACTTTTTCATTTACATTTTCCTCAACATTGTAAAATCCTTGCCTTTGCCTGAGTCCTTCTGCACAACATGCAGATTCCTTCTTGCTAATCACTGCTTCCCCGTCTCCTTAGTCTTGCAATTTAAAATGTCACTTGAAGCTAGCCTTTTTTGATCCCTGACACTAGATTTGGATCCTTTTGAAATGCTTTCTAGTTCCTTAGGCTTCTCATATTTTAGTACTTATTATACATTTTGATTTTACAATGATTTATGTAGTCATGGGCATAGATCATGTAGGAGAATGCCTACCTGATAGCCCAATCTCTGCGATCTCATTCCTGCCTATATAAACACATACAAACATATACACATTAATATACATATATTTTCTTGGTGATACTAAACTTTAGCACAATTATTCACTATTTCTTGTTTGATAACTTCATATTCTGGCAGTAATATTTTATCTCATGAATAGAATTATATATTTATGGTTTTTATCCTATAGGGAGGAAGAAAGGGAAGATTTTGATACTAGCACTGAGAGCAAAGAAATAGAACAAAAGGAACTCGATCAGGATATGGTCACTGAAGATGAAGATGAACCAGGATCACAAAGAAGAAGCAGAAGGGGTAATAATGAGATGTATTAAAGGCATGCTTATATGTGTGTGTATACCTGTGTACACACATGCACATGTGTTCACATTTGCATGTACTGTTCCTGAGGCTTGAACTTAAAGCCTGGGTGCCATTCCTGAGCTTTTTAGCTCAAGGCTATAGCACTCTGCTACTTGAGCCATAGTTCCATTTTTGGCTTTTTGGTAATTAATTAGAGCTAAGAGTCTTAAGGACTTTCCTGCTCCAACTGGCTTTGAACAGTGATCCTCAGATCCTAGCCTTCTGAGTAGCTAGGATTGTGGACATGAGCCACCAGCACTGGGCGGATAGGCAGGCTTTTTTATTTTAGCTATTTTGAAATATATATATATATTTTTTTTTTTTTGATGGTCATGGGGCTTGAACTCTGGGCCTGGGCAATGTCCTTCAGCTCTTCAGCTCAAGGCAAGCGCTCTACCGCTTGAGCTACAGCGCCACTTCTGGTTTTCTAGTCGTTTATTGGAGGTAGGAGTCTCACGGTCTTTGCTGCCCGGGCTGGCTTTGAACTGCGATCCTCAGATCTCAGCCTCCTGAGTAGCTAGGATTATAGGCATGAGTCACTGGCGCCCAGCTTATTTTGAAATATATTTTAAATTAGCTTCCTTTGTGATTTCAGAATGTGGTGGATTTTAAATGTACATCTCATAACTCATTATGAATTGTCAAAAAATACTATTTTGTTTTGTGTTTTGGTTTTTTTTGGGTCCGGTGGTGGGGCCTGAACTCTGGGCCTGGGCGCTGTCCCTCAGTTCTTCAGCTCAAAGCTAGCGCTCTACCACTTGAGCCACAGCACCACTTCCGGCTTTTTTCTTTTTGCTTATGTGGTGGTGAGGAATTGAACCCAGGGCCTCATGCATGCAAGGCAAGCACTCTACCACTGAGCCACCTTCCCAGCCCAACTATTTTGTTATAAAATGGTATTATGAAGTCATACTAGTACATTTTTATACTGCAAACATTTTAATGATTATTGTTCAGCATACATTTTGGAAATTTGCTTCAAGCTGCAACACGTTTAAATCAATGCTTACAATATACAAAGAAAATACAACCAAACATAAAACTTGCTTCAAGTGTGCCTTGCACCTAGACCATTGTTTCATATTAGTATTTTTATGGGGATATATGTTCTATTTGGGACAGTATATCACTGTGTAGCCGAGGCTGATCTCAGTGGTATTATTTTCTTCCTCAGTCTCCTGACTGCAAAGGCCAAAGGCTTGAGCCACCTAGAAATTAGTATTTTTTTTGGGGGGGGGGGTCTGGTAGTGGGGCCTGAACTCTGGGCCTGGGCGCTGTCCCTCAGCTCTTCAGCTCAAGGCTAGCACTCTACCACTTGAGCCACAGTGCCACCTCCGGCTTTTTTTCTTTTTGCAAGTGGTGCTAAGGAATCGAACCCAGGGCATCAGGCATGCACTCTACCACTGAGCCATCTTCCCAGCCCTAGAAATTAGTATTTTTATGGTTATGTCTTTATTCACATGTCATTTCTATCTAGTTGGCGAAAAGAAACGATATTTCTGTCTTAGATAATTTTCTTATAACTTCCAATTTAGTTACTAAGGTTTTCAGAGTTTTGCATATAAAACCAAGTAGAAATTTTTATTCTGTAATATGTTCTATAACTGGTTTCTCAGAGACCCCCCCAAGATCAGTAATTTTCATATTGTTATTGTAGAAGATAAAAATCTTTACACACTAGACCTAACTACTGAGGAGGCTGATATCTAAGGGTTACCATTCAAAGCCAGTATAGTCAGGAAAGTCAAAGAACTATAACTCAAGTGGTAGAGCACTAGCCTTGCACAAAACAGGTAAGGGACAGCACTGAGTTCAAGCTCCCAATTTTGGCACATAAACACACTAAAAAATACATAAAATAATTTTGTAAAATGCTGGATCACATTGTATATTTTTTAAAGCTGTTAATACAGATTACTTCTGACAATTTCTTAGTTAAGACTAATGAGTGATGTCCTTAAGTTAATTCCATGCCTATTTAAATGGGATTTGTTTTTGTCAATATAATTTTTATAGATGGGTACTCTAAATAGTTCTCCACTATCTTGAAGACTATATTAGATTATAATGTAGTTGATTTCAAAATCCAAATTAGACTTTCTGTGGTAGAGCTTTGAAACATACTCCTATGTAATGAATCAGAAACGTACTTAGAGGAAAATTTCCATGCTTCATTCATTTAAGAAGAAGAGAAGTTGTACCATTTCCCCAGCTAAAAGGAAATAACAGATGAATAAAATTAATAGAAAATAAAAGTACATTAAGTGAGAATAGCAAAGCCAAAAAAGTTTTTTAAAACATGACATGTACTCAAGAAACTTGATGGTTGGTTTTCTTTTTAGAGAGAGGTTAACAATAAGTTAGCACTTAAAAATAGAGCAACATATCTGTAAATAAAGTAGAAATTAGAAGAGGACAACATATACAAATTTCTAGCAATAATTTTTAAATGTAGGCAAAAATGAACAGAATCATATAAAAATTATCAAAATATGTTCATTACACTAAAAAATATAAATGGAGGGGCTGGGAATGTGGCTTAGTAGTAGAGTGCTTGCCTAGCATGCATGAAGTCCTGGTTTCAATTCCTTAGTACCACAAGCAGAAAAAGCTGAAAGTGGCCCTGTGGCTTAAAGTGGTAGAGTGCTAGCCTTGAGCAAAAGAAGCTCAGGGATAGTACTCAGGCCCTGATTTTAAGCCCCAGGTTTTTAGTGGTTAATTATCTTTTCTGCCTGAGATAGCCTGAATCATGTTCTTCAGATGTCAGTCTCCTTGGTAGCTAGGATTACAGACATGAGCCACTTACACCTGCTTGGTTTTGGTTTGTTTGCTTTGACTTTGTTTTATTGAGATAGAATTAGGTGTTCTTGGAACTCCTCATGTAAGTAATCCAGGCCAGTCTTGAACTGGTGATCCTCTTGCCTGTCATATTCATAAGTGCAATGATTGCAGACCTGTTTTACCACATTTAGCTTTCATAAATAAGTTTTATTAATCACAGCTATACTTGCTTTACATATTATCTGTTGTTTTTGTGCCACAATGACAGAATTGAGAAGTGACAAACTAAATGACCTGCAAAGCCTTTGATATTTACTAGTTAGTACTTAGCAGAAATGTTTGCTAATTCCTGTCTAAAAAAGACTAAGATAGCTGTTAAAGAATAACTTAATTCTTCCCACTGTACTGTCCAATATAGAAATTACAGATTTTGTCTGTTTCATTAGATTTTTGTGCATCTTTTTTTAATCAACATAGTGTATTGGTATGCTTAAGTTGCCATAATGAAATACCACTGAAATAATGAAATACACTCCTTGGGTAGTATAAACAATAGAAATTTGTTGTGTCTAGCAAAGTCTCTTCCTTGGCCTGCAGATAATACTTTCTCACTGTCTTCAAAAAGCTTTTTCTCTGAGCATGCTACAGATCAAGACATCTAGTGTATGAACCAGTCCTCTTGAATTAAGACTCTTATAATCTCATTTAATTACCTTCTTCAAGGTACCACCTCCAAATACAGTCACTGGGGATTAGAGCCACAGTCTGAATTTAGAGTGTTGAGAAATACAATTCAATCCATAATACATAACTGGAACCTTTGTATTTCTTTTTTTTTCTAGTGATTCGTGTCTGTAATCCTAGTTATTGGGTGCTGAGATCTGAGGACCATGGTTTAAAGCCAGCCTGAATAGGAAAGTCCTTTAATCTTACCTAAATAACCACTAAAAAACCAGCAGTGGAGCTGTGACTCGAGTGGTAGTACACTTGCCTTAGCCAAAAAGCTCAGTGACAGTGCCAGGCCCTGAGTTCAGGACTAGCACCAAAAAGTAAATAAATAGAATGGTTAATAATGCATGTTCTTTCAATACAGGAAAAAGGGGACAAAATGAGTTTAAAGAATGTACAAGGCAAGAAGAGATCAACTGTGTGATAGATGGACCTTTTACTGCTGATGAAGAAGAAGCTTTCAAACAAGAGCACCAACGAAAAGAGAAAGAGCTCTTAGAAAAAATCCAAAGTGCCATAGCATGTACCAATATCTTTCCCTTGGGGCGTGACCGAATGTACAGACGATACTGGATTTTCCCTTCTATTCCTGGTTTGTTTATTGAAGAAGATTATTCTGGTCTCACTGAAGACATGCTCTTGCCTAGACCTTCATCATTTCAGAATAATACACAGTCTCAAGATCCTCAGGTATCTACTAAAACTGAAGAGTCTGTGATGTCTGAAGCTACCTCCAACATTGACCATGGTCCATGTGATGATTCTGTGCAGCTGCCAAAACCAGTGCATAAGCCAAATCGGTGGTGCTTTTATAGTTCTTGCGATCAGCTGGACCAGCTTATTGAAGCTCTAAATTCTAGAGGATATAGAGAAAGTGCCTTAAAAGAAACCTTATTGCAAGAGAAAAGCAGAATATGCGCACAGCTAGCTGGTTTTTCTGAAGAGAAATTTCATTTTTCAGGTAAATGTCCAATTACAGCTGTTATTTTTTCTCCCTATAATTTCTAGACATTCAAGATTAAACATTTTCAAGCTGTTGAAAATATATTTAAGAGCTGGGCACTGGTAGCTCATGCCTTTAATCCTAGCTACTCATGAGGCTATGATCTGAGGATTGTGGTTCAAAGCCAGTCTGGAAAGGGAAATCCATGAGACTCTTTATTCCAACTAACCACCAAAAATCAAAAGTAGAGCTGTGGCTCAAGTGACAGAGCACTAGCCTTGAGTAAAAAAAGCTCAGGAACAGTACTCAACCCCTGAGTTCAAACCCCAGCCTCAGCAGGGAAAAAAAGGAAATAAATAAACATACACATACAAACACAACACATGTGTGCACGGGCACACACACACATATGCATATACATCACACACATATATATATCAACTTTTATTTTGACAATTCAATTTGAAGTTAAAGTTTAGGAATGTATTTCTCTTTAGAAACAAGCTTATCTAAATTCCACCATAATGTCTGGGTTATGAGGAATCATCTATAGTATGAGGAAATAGTGTTCTTCTTTAACTTCTTATTCCTTGGTCAATAAACTTCAAATGCATGTGGTAGTCAGTTTTTCATTATTTTGACAGAATACTTGAGGTTTCAGTCTATCATGGTGCAGAGGTCATGGTAGATAGAGTCAGGGTAGTTTAGGATAGTGCCACCTACATTCAGATGGGTCTTTCTCCCTCAGTTACTTTCCCATTATGTCAGTCATCTCTGGAAATTCCCTCCAAGATACACTCAGAAGTCTACTTTCCTAGGTGCCTGTGGCTCATGCTTGTAATCCTAGCTGCTCAGAAGACTGAGATACGAGGATTGACATTTGAAGCCAGCCCAGGAAATCCATGAGATGAGAGGCCCTAAGAGGCCATAAGTAAAGCTGTGGCTCAAGTGGTAGAATAGTATACTTGAGAAAAACTACTCAGGGACATTGCTGAGCCACTGAGTTCAAAACCCAGATCTGGCACCAAAAAAAGTGCTTTTTCAAATTCATAGGTGTGTCTCAATCCAGTTAAGATAGCAACCAAAATTAACCCATCACAATACCCACTATTGTAAGGCTCTTTGTATATAATATATTAATCTTAGCTATGCAGGAGTCTGGGATCTGAGAATCATGGTTTGAAACCAGCCCAAGCAGTTCATGAGACTATCTCCAGTTAACCATCAAAAAGCAGGAAGTGGGTCTGGAAAGGTGGTTCAGTGGTACAGTGCTTGCCTTGCATGCATAAGGCCCTGGGTTCGATTCCTCATCACCACATAAGCAGAAAAAGCCAGAAGTGGTGCTGTGGCTCAAGTGGTAGAGCGCTAGCCTTGAGCTGAAGACCTGAGGGACAGTGCCCAGGCCCAGAGTTCAGGCCCCACGACGGGAGAAAAAAAAAAAAAGCAGGAAGTGGAGCTGTGGCTGAAGTGGTAGAATACTAGAGCAAAAGAGCTCAAGGTCAAGGCTCAGGCCCTGAGTTCAAGCCCAAGGACCAGCATACACACACAAAAAAACCCAGAAAGGATACCTTAGCTACTTTTGTCCTCAGGATTAGACATGGATATTATGTTCTTTAGCTTAATCATATACTAACCCATTTAAAGTATACAATTCAATGACTTTTAGAATATTCATAAATATGTGCTCCACAATCAATTTCAGGATATTTTCATCACTGCAGAAAAAGAATTTTTGTTTCTTTTAGCTACTACGCTCTTATATGTGTATCCCGTTTCTCACTAGCTCCAGACTGCCACAGATCTTTCTGTCTCTATAAAATTCTCTGTTCTTGACATTTTTTTATGAGTTAAATAAATAGATGATCTTTTGTGATTTACATTTGTGTGTCAATGTGTATGTGCGCATGTTCCTGGAATTGAACTGAGGGCTTTTAACTTATTAGATGTTCTACACTTGATTTACCCCCTCAGCGTTTTTTACTTCAAATATTTTTCAGATGGTGTCTCACACTTCTTACCTAAACTAGCCTTACACCACATCCTCCTAAATATTCTTTCCATAAGTCTGGTATTACAAACCTTGAATTACCATGCCTGGCTTGTTCAAGATACTGTCTACCTAATTTTTGCCCAGACCAAACTGCTATCCTTCTATTTCAACCTTCAAAGTAGCTAGGATTATAGGCCTGAGCCATCTTGCCAAGCCCTGTAGTTGGTATCTTAACAAAAACAAGATTCCTCCATGGTGTATCAGAACTCCATTCCTTTTTATAGCCAAATATTTCATTGCATGAATACAATACACTTTACCCATTTACTAGTTGGTTGACATTTCCTTTGTTTCCACCTTTTAGCAGTTATGAAAAGGGCTGCTTGTAAGTATCCAAATATAAGGTTTTCATTTGTCTTGAGTAAATATCTTAGGATTATGTGATAAGACTGCTTAATCTTCTGAAGATCTGCTAAATTGTTTCCCAAAGCAGCTACTCTACTTTGTTTTCCCACCCACAGTTTGTTCTCACCCACAGCACATGAGGATTCCAAATCTCCATTTCCTTGCCAAGACTTAGTTATCTGACTTTTATTATAGCTGTCCCAAGGGTATGTAAAAAGAGAGTATGAAATCCTCATCATGGGGTTTTTTCCTATCTTTTCTTAATAACTTATCATGGTGAGCATTTTTTCCTTGTGACTATTGGCTATTTGAATATACTCCTACTGGAATACCTATTAAGATACTTTGCCCATTTTTCAATTGGGTTGTTTATCTTTCTATAGAATTATGTGACTTTTTTATATATTCTGGATATGAGGACCCCATCACATATGATGAGCAAATACTCATTTGTTATTGGAGGCACTAGAGAATTTACAAAGTACTTTTATCCGCATCTCAAAATTGTAACAGTCACATGAAGTAACTGTTTTTTTTTTTAATGAGAAAATCACCACAGAGGTATTTGCTTATTTCAGACAAACCTCAGATGGATAGCAAACCTGCATATACTCGGGGAAGATCTTCCAGTGTACATGACCCACCTCAGATGTCTGCAGAAAGGCAACTAGAACTGAGACTTAGAGATTTTCTTTTGGATATTGAAGACAGAATCTATCAAGGAACATTAGGAGCAATCAAGGTTTGTACCTATTTACAATTTTAGTTTAATTTGCTTCATTCATATTTTGGTCATATTTGCTAATTATTTGATAAATGCAAAACCTGAGTTTTGAGTAACATCAGTGAATGATTTTTTTATGAAAAGTATGTTTATTCTTTTATATCAAAATATTTGCATAGGGGTGTAATCTTAAATATATGATTAACTGCTTAAACACAATTTTAAAGACTATAATTGACCTTAATGTTAATTTTTGTGTTTTAGAAATAGGTTTTATGAAGCTAGGTGCTGCTGGCTCACACCTTTAATCCTCTGCTTAAAAGGCTGATCTGAGGATCACAATTTAAAGCCAGACCAGACAGGAAAGTCCATGAAATTCTTACCTCCAGTTAAGCACAAAAAAAAATAAAAATTAAAAAATCCAAAAGTGGAGCTGTCGTGCAAGTGGTAAAGTGTTAGTGTTAAGCAAAATAAAATAATTTTTTAACACATAGAGACAGCACTCTAAGTTAATAAAATGGGGGCTTATGAGGTTTTAATCAGATTTTGGAATTTTTTTTACCTTATTATAAAGGCGATGTACAGAAGGGTTACAGTTACATAAGTCAGGTGGATATTGAAATATTTAAAGATATCATCTTCCTTGATCAGTTTGCTTATTGGTTCTTTGTTACTTTTTTGAAATCTGTAAGCAATTCATACTTGATAAACATGTTCTTTTTTCTTTTTTTCTTTTTTTGTGCTAGTCTAGGGCTTGAACTCAAGACCTGGGTGCTGTCCCCTGAGCTTTTGTGCTCAAGACTAGTGCTCTACCTCTTTGAACCACAGTACTATTTCCTACTTTTTGGTAGTTAATTGGAGATAAGAGTCTCGTGGCTACTCACCAGACACTATGTTGGAACTGTAGAACTTGATGGAGAGTCGAGTCAAAAGAAATGCACTCATTACCTTACTTTTTTGTAACAGTAACCCTTTGTACATCACCTTTAAAATTTAAAATAAAGTCTCATGGACTGCTCCAGGCTGACTTTGAATCTTGATTCTCAGATCTTAGCTTCCTGAGCAGCTAGGATTACAGGCATGAGCCACCAATGCCCAGCTGTTGTTTATTTTTTGTGTGTGCTGGTATTAGGACTTGAACTCAGAGTCTCATGTCCTTGCTTGGGTTTTTCAATCAAGGCTGGCACTCTACCATTTGAGCCACAACTCCATGTCCTGTTTTTTGGTGGCTAATTGGAGATAAAAGTATTATGGACTTTGCTGTCGGGGCTGGCTTTGTACCAGATCTCAGCCTCATGAGTAGCTGGGATAACAAGCATGAGCCCCCAGTTCCCAGAAAAAGATGTGTTCTTTTACATTGCCCAGGCTGGCCTGGGACTTGAAGTCCTCCTGCCTCACTCAGTCTCCTTCCACATGCTGGGATTATAGATTTACACCACCATCCCTACTGAGAATAATTTATTATACCTTTGCCATTGTCACTCTTGCTACTAGCAAGTAGCCAGTCATAAAACCATTCATAATTGTTAAATAGACATTAAGATATTAATGAATTTCTATCTTAGCCACTTTATAACCTTATTTTTAGATCCCTTTTTGATTTATGATCTGTTAAAGAATGTCCATGAATTAATCTTACATGTAGACTATCATATCTTTTAGAAACAACATCCCAGTTGTTGGGGGTGTTTTTGTTTGGGTTTTTTTTTTTTCATTTGTGGGGCTTGAACTCTGGGCCTGGGTACTGCCCCTCTGTTCTTCAGCTCAAGGCTAGTGCTCTACCACTTGAGCCACAACTCCACTTTCAGTTTTCTGGTGGTTAATTGGAGATAAGGGTCTCACAAATGTTGCTGCCCAGGCTGGCTTTGAACCATGATCCTCAGATTTCAGCCTCCTGAGTAGCTAGGAATATAGGTTTGACCCACCAGCACCCAGCAATATCCCAGTTTTGAGGTCAGTAAATTTGGATTTTATTCCAGGTTGCAGATCGTCACATCTGGAGATCAGCCTTAGAAAGTGGTCGGTATGAGTTACTAAGTGAGGAGAACAAGGAGAATGGAATCATGAAAACTGTGAATGGAGATGAAGATGAGATGGAAGTTGATGATCAAGCAAAGGCCATAGTTAAAGACAGGTACACAAAGGATTTTATAAAGCAGCCTTCAACATTTCCTTACCAGTTTAAGTTCAACCTCCAGTACTAACTCACAAAATAATAGCGAACAAGAAATACCTTTACTTTTTCCAAGTTATTTTGGATGCTATCTAATCTTTTTTTTTTTTTTTGGTCATTGGGCTTAAACTCGGCCTGGGCACTGTCCCTCAGCTCTTCAGCTCAAGGCTAGCGCTCTACCACTTGAGCCATAGCACCACTTCCAGCTTTTTCTGCTTAGGTTGCCCTGAGGAATTGAACCCAAGGTCTCATGCATAAGAGACAAGCACTCTACCACTGAGCCACCTTCCCAGCCCTGCTATCTAGTCTTAAGCCACTTATCATCTAGTTTTTGTTTTAAACTGACAGAGGTGGGTTGAGTATGTAGCTCACTGAAATAGCACTGCAGTAGCATACATGAGGCTGTAGGTTTGATCCCCAACACCACAGAAACAATTATGCAAATCTTAATTTCCAATCATTGAAATAATCATTTTCTAAACCTCAGGATTTCTACTACTTCATTTTGTGTTAATGCAATCCAAAGAAAACTCATTAAAGTAGATACATTTTTTTAAGTGAGGTAGGTGGCCCACAACTGTAAATCTAGCTTATTCAGAAGGAGGCTGAGATCTGAAGATCAAGGTCCAAAACTAGCCCAAGCAGACAAATCCAAGAGACTCTTTAATCAGCTACCAAAAATCCAGAAGCAGAGTTGTGGTTCAAGTGGTAGAATGCCAACCTTGAACAAAGAAACTAAGGAATAGTGCAAGCCCTAGTTCAAGCCTCAGTACTGAAACACATACACACACACATATAATAAAAGACTTTTTTCTTTTTCTTTTTTTTTTTTTTTTTTTGGGGGGGGGGCTGCAGTTGTGAGGCCTGAACTCTGGGCCTGGGCACTGTCCCTCAGCTCTTCAGCTCAAGGCTAGCTCTCTACCACTTGAGCCACAGCACCACTTCCGGCTTTTTTCTTTTTGCTTATGTGGTGCTGAGGAATCGAACCCAGGGCCTCTGGCATGCAAGGCAAGCGCTTTACCACTGAGCCACCTTCCCAGCCCCTAAAATACTTTTTTCAAGCTTATCTTCCCTTGTCTAGTCTTAAGCCACTTATCATCTAGATGGGAGTGATGGAGAATTAAGCAGGGTTAGAATTCTAGAAGAACGTTTGGTGAAGGGGAGTGGGGAGTGGAAAGCGGGAGAAAATGAGGGAGGGGATAACTGTTCAAAAAGAAATGTACTCATCACCTTGCATATGTAACTATAAGCCCCCTATTTATCACATTTACAGTAAATAATTTTAAAAAAAGAATTCTGGAAGAAGGTAGATGTGGGTGCACAGGGCTACTTAAGTCTACTTGTCTTGGGGTAGCCTAGAGGAAAGTGAAAGTGTTATCAACGGAGTTTGCTGGCTGCACAGTCGAACCCTGAACGTGGCAGAAATGAAAACCACAAAAAAGGTCATGTGTTCAAAGGCTTTGGGTTGATGGGTTTGCAGTTTTAAGTCACTTTAGCTACACTGTGGATATTTAATGCAAAGGGAACAAAATTAAAGGCTAATGAACTAGTTAAGAGGTAAATATGTATTTCTTACCTGTAGCTAAGTAAGAGAAGTAAACTGCATGATGCTGAAGATTCATCACCTCTGCTTCTGTAAACCTTCCCAGCTCTTTCCCTTTTGTACCTTCTCTCCTTGAGACAATTTCCCATCAGCTTATAATAGCTCCCCTTGGTTTGAGGAAACTTTTTCTAAGGCAGATGTAAATAAGCTTTTGGAGGAATGATAGGCACAAGTTTTACATGACAGTAGTGTTTTCCAGTACTGTTAAGTCCTTCTGTTTTGATTATAGACTTTTGGGGATAAAAACAGAAACTCCAAGTACTGCCTCAACTAATGCAAGTACACCACAGTCAGTGAGTAATGTGGTTCATTATCTGGCAATGGCCCTGTTTCAAATAGAACAGGGCATTGAGCGGCGTTTTCTTAAAGCTCCACTTGGTAAGTGTCTTTTTATTTTAATGTTACATTTCAAATTATTTTGAAATTGCCTTTTAGAAGAACTTTATTAATTGCCATAACAAAATTGATAGACTAATGGGAAGAAATTGTTTTCATTTTAAAAGATGAATCCTTTCAGGTAAAATTTATCATTTAAATAATGCATATTCATATTAGGATTTTTTTTTTTTTTTTTTTTTGGTCCTGGGGCCTGAACTCTGGACTTGGGGGCTGTCTCTGAGCTCTTAGCTCAAGGCTAGCGCCCTACCACTTGAACCACAATGCCACTTCCCGTTTTTTCTGCTCATGTGGTGCTGAGGGATCGAATCCAGGGCCTCATACATGCAAGGCAAGCACTCTAGGAAATGTTTTTAAATTATTTCTTTCAATTGCATCCTTTATAAAGACTTCATCTAAAGAAAGATTACCCATCTGCAACTGGCAAACCTCAAATAATCAAAATTATGCATGAGTATTTATTCTTGGTGACATAAATCTTTCACCATTTGAGGTATAATTTTTAAAATATGAGCTATTGACTGAAGCACTATAATTTATGGTTACAATTTATGCTCTACAATTTATGGTTAAAATGATAGAAACAGTACTGTCTATATCATCTTTTGGCAGTTTCTGAAATCAGTAGGCACATTTTTGGTAGTAGTGGAGTTTGAATTTAGGGCCTCTAGCTTGCTAAGCAGGTATTGTACCAATTTGAGCTATACACCTTTTGCTTTGGTTATTTTTGAGATAGTCTCACTGTTTGCCTGGGCTAGCCTGAGCTATGGTTTTCCTATTTACACTTCCCACCATAGCTGGTATGACAGACACACACCACCATAAACTCCTCTTTTTCTGTTGAGATAAGGGTCTCACAACCTGGGATCCTCCCAACCACAGTCTTCAGGAGCTGGGATTACAACTGTAAGTCACAAAAAGCCACCATGCTGAGCATTTAATTAAAATTTTTTATTTTCATTTATTTATTTATTTTGTCGATTGTGGGGCTTGAACTTTGGGCCTGGGTGCTGTCCCTCAGCTCTTCAGCTCAAGGCTAGCACTCTACCACTTGAGCCACAGCGCCACTTCCGGCTTTTTTTTTTTTTTTGCTTATGTGGTGCTGAGGAATGGAACCTAGGGCCTCATGCATGCACTCTACGCTCTACTACTGAGCCACCTTCCCAGCCAGTAAACAAATTCTTAAAAGACCAGTCTGGGAATCTAATCTTTGGGGGTTTAAAATTCAAAAATTATGTCATAATTGCCTTTACTTCTTTCCATGTTGTCTTTTTAAGATATTATATTTACAATTCATCATACTAAAAAATATTATGCGTTTATAATGGGATTCTAAAAGAAAAATTTTTTTCATTCTTACATACTTAAAAATTATTTTTAAGTAATTTTACAAAGGAGGTGTCATATAACAAAAGTTTATGACTGTAAAGCAAGAAATAATTTTTAAAACAATTTCTTTTTGGTCTCATTGAAAGTACTTGAATAAAGTTCTTGAACAATTGAAGTAGTGTGAAAAAACTTATTTTAATAGATATCAGAACAATTTTAGAATTTGAATATATGTAAAATGTCTTTTCTTTTTTTCTCCCAGCCCTAGGGCCTGAACTCTGGGCCTGGGTGCTGTCCCTGAGCTTTTGTGTTCAAGGCTAGCATTCTACCATTGGAGCCATAGCTCCACTTCCAGCTTTTTTGGGTAGTTTTAGTGAAGATAAGGTTGGCTTTGAACTATAATCCTCAGATCTCAGCTTCCTAAGTAGCTAGGATTACAGACATACTCCATGGGTGCCCTCCCAAATTGTCTTTTTTAATTGAAGAGTTTGTGCCTTCTCATTCTAAACCTATTCATTTTTTGAAAAATTGATCATTTCATGTATGAACTGGAATAATGAAGCTAGTTGAGATTGATTGGGGAATGGGAATTAGGAAGGTTCAGAAGAGGTAAATCTCATCAAGGCATGTGGTATGTGTGTATGGTCATGTCAGAATGAAACATCCTTGTACAACTAAGTGAGTGTAATAAAAATAATTTATAATTCCACCATGAGCCTAAATAACTCACATATTACATTGAATGAAGCAGGTGTAAGAATGCACCATGTATGAACACAGCTCATAAAACTATAAGGGTTAATATTTGCTATATCACTCCAGTCTTCAGTGAGTCTACCAACCCTGAGATAAATACTGCTCCACATATTACTATTAAGGAACCTGAGCTCAAGTTCATGTAAGCACCAGTACTCACCACAAAGCATACTGTAAGCCTGTATTTCCTTAATCATAATGCTACTGCTTGAGAGGCATCATAGTAGGAGTATGACATTACAGAACCAAATTATATATGGAGTCTTACACACATTGCTGAATTTGGACATATGGTACATCCTTCATAATTAAGACAGATGTTTTGTTTGGATGCCAGTGGCTTACTCTTGTAACCCTGGCTACTCAGGAAGCTGCGATCTGAGGATTCTGGTTTAAATCAGACTGGAAAGACAGATCTGAGAGACTCCAATTAGCCAGCAAAATCCAGAAGTGGAGGTGTTGTTTCAAATGGTAGAATATTAGCCTTGAGACAAAAGCTTAACAAAAGAGCAAGACTTCCCCCCCCACCCTACTCCCCCCCCACACACACACACAGAAAAGGATGTTTTGGGACTAGGCATGGTGGCAATTCAGAACTACTCAGGAGGAGCAGCCCAAGAGAATCAAAGTCAAGTCTAGCCTCAGTAATCCTCCCAATCTCAACCAACAAGCCAGATGTGGTTGGTACACACCTATGGTCCCAACTACATGAGAAGCTGTAGGTAAAAGAATCATGATCTGTGAGGCCCACCCTGGGCAAAAACTTGAGGCTCTACCTGAAAAAGAATAAAAAGGAGCTGGAAGTATGGTTCAAGTAGTAGAATGCCTGCCTAGCAAGCAGGATGCTGATTTCAAACAGAATTTTGGGAAAATTAACGTATTAGCAGTATTAAAGATTAAGATGGAAATGACATGAAGGTGTAAAATGATGGAATAAGTATATTGACTGCATGTTGCCAAATCATTTCATTTTTTTAGCCCAGAAGACAGGGATGGTGAGGTTAATGACAGAAGGTTTAAATGCTTCTGTGTAAATATTGGTGTTCAAAATTCTTTGTGAAGGTATTATTAGCATTCTTTTTTTTTTTGGGTCCGGTCGTGGGGCCTGAACTCTGGGCCTGGGCACTGTCCCTCAGCTCTTCAGCTCAAGGCTAGCGCTCTACCACTTGAGCCACAGCGCCACTTCCGGCTTTTTTCTGTTTGCTTATGTGGTGCTGAGGAATCGAACCCAGGGCCTCGAGCATGCAAGGCAAGCACTCTACCACTGAGCCACCTTCCCAGCAGCATTCTTTTTACTTAACTCAGTTTTAAAATATTTTCATAGAGCTTTTAAGACAGTATAGTTGGTACTTATACATACATGCATGATAAATTTAACCACTGTTACTGGGATAAAATTTACATATCATGAAATTCACTCTCATATATCCTTTGTTGGTACTGGCCTTTGCTTGCTAGGCAGGTTCACTTGAGCTGCTCATGCAGCCTTTTTTGTTTATTTTTTTGAGATAAAGTCTCATGTTTTTGCCCCAAGTCAGCTTGGACTATTATCCTCTATTTACACTTACCATAAAGATGGAATGGTAGGTGTGTACCACCATTCCAAGCTATTGATATGGAAGGCTCTCAAAACTTTGCTCAGGCTGGCCTCAAACAACCTTTCTCCTAATCTCCAGCTCCCAAGTATTCTGGATTGTATGAGCTGACAAATTCACCATTTTAAGTGGTTTCTCACAGTAATAAATATACTGATCCAATACCACATCTAGTTTAAGAATATCATCATAAGCCCAAAAGTTTAAACCTCATGTGTGATTTTTAGTAGCAATCTTTTCTCGGAAAATGAGGAAGGAACATGCTTGATTGATTGTAGTCATATTTATCCAGTTTTCTAAATTGGATCAAGATTCAATACAAAGACTAGATTGGGAACACGTTGTCTTCTTAACTATTGGAATCCATCCTCAAGCATTTGACTTACAGGTTTTCTGTCATGAATAACATGTGGCACAGCAGGTATTTTAAGTGAGATTTTTTGTTTTCAGTGTCATGCCTGGTGTTTTTGTTAACCAGTGGAAAAGAGATGTAAAATCTAGCCCATTTAACCTGCTGAGAACATAGTTGTAGGTGATGCCTAGGTTTGTCTAGAAACTTCAATCACTTTTCCTCTTATTTTAGATGCCAGTGACAGTGGGCGCTCTTATAAAACAGTCTTGGACCGCTGGAGAGACTCTCTCCTTTCCTCTGCTAGTCTATCTCAAGTCTTCCTTCACTTGTCCACCTTGGATCGAAGTGTGATATGGTCTAAATCGATACTTAATGCTCGATGCAAGATCTGTCGGAAGAAGGGTGATGCTGAAAACATGGTTCTTTGTGATGGCTGTGACAGGGGTCATCACACCTACTGTGTCCGACCAAAGCTCAAGGTATTTCTTTGTTTTTCTACTTCTCAGATGTGAATTGATATATTGAGATTCTGATCAGTAGACGGGTAGTGATCATTTATGTGTCTTTCTTATTCAGGCTGTGCCTGAAGGAGATTGGTTTTGTCCAGAATGTCGACCAAAGCAGCGTTCTAGAAGACTCTCCTCTAGACAGAGACCATCCTTGGAAAGTGATGAAGATGTGGAAGAGAGTGTGGAAGGTGAGGATGATGAAGATGAGGAAGAAGAGGAGGATCAAAGTGAAGAGGAAGAATATGAGGTAGAGCAAGATGAAGATGACTCCCAGGAAGAAGAAGAGCTCAGGTAAGTCGTAACACAATTGAATGAGTCTAGCTGTCTTAATTATAGTCTCCTGACTACTGAGATATTTGTATGATAGTTGGAACCCATAACTTTTAAAACTAGTGTGTAATGTAGGAGTCTAAAATTATCCTTACTTTTTAGATATTATAATTATAAAACTATTCCTCGGGTAGTATTGTGCTCTTGCACATCACCCCTTAACAACTTCTCTGTTATTATGAGGGTTCTGCAACCTGGCACACCATCAGCAGACCTAATGAATAGGTTTGAAGTCTAGATTCCTGCTGTGGTAGTACTGAGTCAATCTCAGTCCCCAGCTTAGTTAGGAATACACACTCACACAAAAAAAAGTAAATATTTAAAGGGGGGGCACTATATTACATGTTAGTGTTTTCTTTTGTTTGTTGTTTTTGGTGTTAGTACTGGGACTTGAACTCAAGTTCTCATCCTCTTGTTTATCTTCTTAACTCACAGCGGCACTCTACCACTTGAGCCATGCTTCCAGTTCTGATTTTTGCTGGTTAATTGGAGTTAGGGTCTCTTGGATTTGTCTGCCCAGGCTTGCTTCAAACCTTGATTCTCAGATCTCAGCCTCCTGAATAGCTAGATTACAAGCGTGAGCCACTAGCACTTGGGTACATATTAGTTTTTGGGGGCAAAGTTGCTTCAAATATTAGAACAGGGTGTTCAGTCTGCAGTAATGGAGACTGGAAAGAAAAATGAGGGTAGAATTTGGAAAAAATTTTAGAAACATTCTCAATTAACTGGAAGTCTGTATATGAGAGCTGAGGTTGGGGGTTTAAAGAGGAGATTTACAAGTTGGTTTCATCCTTTTAATTAAAGGCAGCTGAAAAATTAAAGTAAAAGCTCTTGGTTTGGGGCTGGGAAGGTGGCTCAGTCGTAGAGCGCTTGCCTTGCATGCATGAGGCCCTGGGTTCGATTCCCCAGCACCACATAAGCAAAAAGAAAAAAAAGCTGGGGGGGCTGGGAAGATGGCTCAGTGGTAGAGCGAGCACTTGCCTTACATGCAGGAGACCCTGGGTTCGATTCCTCAGGACCACATAAGCAAAATGAAAAAAGCTGAAAGTGGCGCTGTGGCTCAAGTGGTAGAGCTCTAGCCTTCAGCTGAAGAGCTGAAGGACAGTGCCCAGGCCCAGAGTTCAGGCCCCACAACCGGACCCAAAAAGAAAAAAAAGCTGGAAGTGGTGCTGTGGCTCAAGTGGTAGAGCTCTACCCTTGAGCTGAAGAGCTGCCCCACGACTGGACCCCCTCAACAAAACCAAAAACAAAAACAAAAAAAAGCTCTTGGTTTGGTATTTAAGAACTACAGGTTCATGGCCCACTTCAGTATCAGCACTTGGCTGAAGCTGTAGGTTGCCTTTATATCAACAGTAATGGAAGTGATAAAGTTGTAGATGGGTATGGTTGTGTTAGCCCTGTGATCCCAGGTACTTCAGAGGCAGTCAAGAGAATCTTTACTTCAAGGCCTTCCTGTTTAAGCAAAAGGCCAGCTAGGCACTGGTGGCTCATGCCTATAATCCTAGCTACCCAGGAAGCTGAGATCTGAGGATGGAGGTTGGAAGTCAGCCCAGACAGAAAAGCCTGAAAGACTGTACAATTAACTAGCAAAAAGCTAGGCTGGTAGTATGGCTCAAATGATAGAGCCAGCCAAGCAAGTGTGAGACCCTGAGAGTTCAAACCCCAGTAATGCTTTAAGGGCAGGGGAAGAACTACAATGAGACTTTGGTTCAATCTCTAAGAAAAAGAAACACATGACAGACTCTGTAGCATAGTGAGACAAAATACAAATTTAGTTCTTCACTCAAGTCTTCCAAGATTTCGCTAGGTCTGTTTATTGGTTCCGCTTAGGATTGTACTAGTATAAGATAATTTAGCATAAGTAACTTAGGAATTGTTTTTTATGATGATGAATGTAGAATTACCAAGAAAATACTGCATAATGTCCTTACATTTCAAAGAAATACTTTGAAGCATATTTTAGATCTCCCTGAAAACTATTATTGGCTTCTAAACTTAAAACATTGAGTATAAATCTGCTACACAGGAAAGTAATTTATGTAGAATTCACTGGCTAAATAAAAGAAATCATGTGTTCATCATTACTCTGTACAATAACCGTGTTTTCCAACAATATTTGTAGCCCACCAAAACGAGGAAGACCACAACTTAGATTGCCAATTAAAACAAGAACAAGACTTAGCTCTTCTTTCCCAAGCCGTGGCCTACGACAAGAACCTGGAAGATACCCTTCAAGGAGTCAGCAGAGTACCCCCAAAACAACTATTTATTCTAAAACTACTGGTAGAAACTTGAGAAAGATCAAGTCTGCGCCTCCTACGGAAACTAAGTCTTTAAGAATTACCAGTCGTTCTACCCGCCACAGCCATGGCACACTGCAAGCAAATGTGTTTGTGGAACTACTTAGTCCTCGCCGAAAAAGCAGAGTGAGGAAAAGTGCTGATAATACACCAGAAAACAGTCCCAGCTTCTCTGACTTCAGAGTTATCACCACAAAGTCAGGTGATCACTCCAGACTTTCTCTCCAAGATGGTGAATCCAAGAGAAGAGGCAAGAAAAGACAATCTACAGGTATACAGTCTAAATTCTTTCTTACCTTAAAAAATTGAATAGTTTGGAAGCATTGTATATTTTGAAGTGTCCCCTATAACACCACATTTCATTGTTTCCCACTTTTCCTCCCCCAGAATGCATACAATCTACATTATATTATTTGATAAGATTCCCTTCTGAAATACTAGATTTGGGGTGAGGGGGGTAGTGTTGAGGGAAGTAACATTTTAAGAGAGCAAACAAGTTTTTGTTTTTTGCTGGTCCTGGGGCTTTTTGTAGGGCCTGGGCACTGTCCCTGAGTTGCTTTTGTTCAAGGCTGGCACTCTTACCACTTGAGTCACCATGCCACTTCTAACTTTTTTGAGTAGTTTATTGGAGATAAAAGCCTCATGAACTTTCCTGCTCCAGCTGACTTCAAACCACAGTCCTTACATCTCAGCCTCCTAAGTAGCTACAATTATAGCCACCAGCACCTGGCACATAAGTTTTTTTGTTATGTTTTCTTGTTGTTTTGGGGTTCTTTGGGTTCTTTTTGCCAGTCGTGGGGCCTGAACTGTATGTAGGCCTGGATGCTGACTCTCAGCTCTTCAAGGCTAGTGCCCTACCACTTGAGCCACAGCGCCACTTCGGGCTTTTTCTGCTTATGTGGTGCTGAGGAATCGAACCCAGGGCCTTATGCATGCAAGGCAAGCACTCTAGGACTGAGCATCTTCCCAGCCCCTGGGTTTTTTGTTGTTGTTGTTGTTTTCAGTTGTGGGGTTTGAACTCGGCCTGGGCGCTGTCCCTCAGCTAAAGGTGAATGCTCTACCATGTGAGCCACAGCACCACTTCGTTTTCTCAGTGGTTTATTGGAGATAAGAGTCGCACAGAGTTTCCTGCCCAGGCTGCCTTTTGAACTGCAGTCCTCAGATCTCAGCCTCCTGAGTAGCTAGGTTTACAGGTGTGCACCACTGGCACCCAGCACAAACAAGTTTTTCAATTATGGTTTTGAGGGATTTTTGTTTGCTTGCTTTTGGGGAATACTGGGATTTGAACTTGAGTTTATAAGATAGGTACTCTATTACTTTACTCCTAGTCCTTTTTCTTTGATTATTTTTCAAGTAGTCATGCATTTTGCCCTTTGTTGCTTAGACCATAATTGTGTGATGCTCAATGTATAGACCTGCCCAGCTTTTATTGTTTATGAAGTCTTACTAACTTTTTGCCTAGGCTGGCCTCGAACTATTCTCTTCCAATTTTTACCCCTCATAAATAGCTAGGATTACAGACATCAGATGCCATGGCTGGCTTAATTATGAGTGTTATTATTTTTGGGTTTTCTATTTTCTATACTGGAGTTTTCTCTTTTGGGACCTCACACTTGCTTGTTCAACTGATGTTCTCGCAACTGGGCCTTTTCTGATTACATTCTGGCTAATTTAGATATGGAGTCTCACTCAGATCCTCTAAATCTCAGCCTCCTGAGTAGCTAGGATTACTGTCATGAGTCACCAGCATCTAGCAATTATTTTTACTTACAGTAATCTGTATCCACAAAAAAATTTTTTTTTGTTGTTTTTTTTGGGGGGGGTGTCAGTCGTGGGCCTTGAACTCTGGGCCTGAGGGCTGTCTCTCAGCTCTTCAGCTCAAGGTGAGTACTCTACCACTTGAGCCACAGCGCCACTTCCGGTTTTCTGGTGATTAACTGGAGATTAGAGTCTCTGGGACTTTCCTGCCTGGGCTGGGTTTGGACCACAATCCTCAGACCTTAGCCTCCTAAGTAGCTAGGATTACAGGTGTGAGCCACTGGTGCCTGGCTGTTTTGGTGCTGGAGCTCAAACCCTATTAGTCTCGTGTGTGTGTGTGTGTGTGTGTGTGTGTGTGTGTGTGTGTGTGTGTGTGTGTGTG